AACCACAGCGAGACATCATTTCACTTCTTTTAGACTATTATCAAAAAGACAAAAGATAACAAGCTCTGGTGAGGATGTAGAGATTAGGGAACTCTTGCACACTATTGGTGGAAATATGACTTAGTGCAGCCACCAGAGAAAACACTATGAAGGTTACTCAACAAATTAAAAACAGGACTACAAAATGATGCAGTAATCTTGGCACTGGGTATATATCCAAAGGAAATGGAACTCGTTTATAGAAAAGCTATTTGCATTCTCTTATTTATTACAGCACGATATGCAAGATTAGTAATCAACCTAATATTCAATGAATAAAAACATAAAGAAAATATGATTCTTGGGCTGGGATTGTGGCTCAGTGGTAGAGTGCTTGCCTAGCATGTGTGAGGAGCTGGGTTCGATCCTCAGCACTGCATAAAAATAAACAAATAAAATAAAGGTATTGTGCCCAACTATATCTAAAAATATACTTTAAAAAAGAAAATATGGTTCATATATACAATAGAATACATCCATTCACAAAAGGGAATTAAATCCTCTTATTTATGAAAATATGGATGGATCTGGAGGAAATTATGTTAAATGTATTTGATTTAACAATGAAAAAAGACCAACACTGCATGATCTCACTCATATATGGAATCTAAAAAAAGTTGATCTCTCATAGAAGTAGAGAAGACTGGGGTGGTTGTTGTAGGGGGTTGAGACAATGTTGCTCAAAAGATAGGAGGAATAAGGTCAATAGGTCTATTGTGCAATATATTGGCTACTCTTAATAATATGCTGTATTTTTGAAAAATGTTATTACAGCATAAGTAAAGTGATCTCATCACATAAATGATAATAATGTGAGGTAATGCATATGTTATTTAGCTATATTTAGCCATTCCACTACACACACACACACACACACACACACACACACACACATCTACATAAAGAAATATACTTCAAAACATCATGGATATAATGAATGCATAGAATTTATGTGTCAATTAAAAAAAATAAAAAATAGAGTACTCCCAGGTAACTCTGCTTTCCTCCTTTCTTAGACATTCAGTTTCCTTCAGATATGGAAAAATGGAGTAATTCCCACAATTGTAGGATGATGTAAATATAGTGCTTTAGCCAGATGCCATTATAGTCTCATAGAACTTATATGTAAAGACATAAAATGTGCACCTATGCCTGAGGGAAGCTCTACAGACAGGCATAAATCTGAGCTGCATGTTGAAAGATGGACACATTTTCCAGATGGGTTATATAAATCTAGATATTCAGCTTGGGAAGAAGGGTACTACCTGGAAGCAAGAGTCTGGACCCAGAATTAAAGATGAGAGGGAAGACTAGATAAGCGTGTAGCCCCGTGCTTCTCAAACTTTAACATAGACAAAAATCACATGGGGAGTTGACATGCTGATCTTGGTTCGATACTTGTAGGAAAGGGCCGGATACCTTGTATTTGTCAAGCTCCTGGATCAGGCTGATGTTGCTGATTCATGAACCACAGAAGCATTACACAAGGTACCTAGTGAGCAATAAGTGTTGATTCTGGGATGGTGAGATAAAGTTTTACAGGAAGAGCAGAGATTTCACTCCTGTGCTGACAAAAGCCAAGAAGGTAAGAGAATGTAGGAAGTGGCGTGGTGCTGCTCTGTAAAACTGGAGAACACTGCCAGCCTCTCAGGAGTAAGCTCTCCTTGGGTCAGGAGAATTGTCACCAGGGAAGAAGATGATCTCGGTGTTAACTGAATCTCTCCATTTCTAAAAAGAAGCCATAAATTCACTGTATTCTTAATATAAAATCTACTGGTTTGTAAATACATACACACATATACAAATAAAACATTCTGAGTCAAACAAATATAATTTTCTTGCTATATTTACAACTACTTTATCCAAGTAGTAAGAAAAGGTCAAAGGGTTTAGAATATGGGCAGAAACCGGCAGAAACTAGCATAGAAGGGAATCTGAAGGCTTACTGTATAGTTGAACATTTGAGTTAGAGTTCAAAGTTTGCATGACAAAGAGCAGGGATCAGAACCCAAGTATAAAAAAAGGTGTGTAAAGAACTCAAAAAGCTAAACAACAAAAAAATAAAAATAAAAGAAAACCCAATCAATAAATAGGCCAAGGACCTGAACAGACACTTCTCAGAAGATGATATACAGTCAATCAACAAATATATGAAAAAAATGTTCATCATCGCTAGCAATTAGAGAAATACAAAGCAAATCAAAACTACTCTAATATTTCATCTCACTCCAGTCAGAATGGCTGCTATTAGGAATACAAACAACAATAAGTGTTGATGAGGATGAGGGGGGAAGGTACATTAATACACTGCTGGTGGGACTGCAAATTGGTGCAGCCAATATGGAAAGCAGTATGGAGATTCCTTGGAAAACTGGGAATGGAACCACCATTTGACCCAACTATCCCTCTCTTCTGTATATTCCCAAAGGACTTAAAAACAGCATACTACAGGGACACAGCCACATCCATGTTTATAGCAGCATGATTCACAATAGTTAAACTGTGGAACCAACCTAGATACCCTTCAATAGATGAATGGATTAAAAAATATGGCATATATACACAATGGAATATTACTCAGCAATAAAAGAGAATAAAATCGTGGCATTTGCCTGTAAATGGATGAAGTTAGAGAAGACAATGCTAAGTGAAGTTAGCCAATCCCCAAAACCCAAATACTGAATGTTTTCTCTGATATAAGGAGGCTGATTCATAGTGGTAGTGGGATGGGGAGCATGATAGGAATAGAGGAACTTTAGATAGGGCAGAGGGGTGGGAGGGGAAGAGAAGGGGCATGGGGTTAAAAATGATGGTGGAATGTGATGGACATCATTATTCAAAGTACATGCATGAAGACACCAATTGTGTGTGAATATATTTTGTATGCAACCAGAGATATGAAAAATGCGTGCTTTATATTTGTAATAAAAATTGTAATGCATTCTGTTGTCATATATAAGTAAAAAATTAATAAAAATATAAGCATAGGAAAATAAAAGAAGGCTCCTTAGAAATAGAGTGTTGGTGTTGATAAGTATTGATATAAGTCTTGTTAGAGTAGAGAAGACTGAATGCAAGATGAGGATTTTGAATTGTTTTCAAAAATAACTGAAAGTCACAGACTATGTTTTTATGTCAGCTCTGTGCTAGCTAAAATCTAAAGTAGTCCAGGATAGCTAATAATTTAATGATTTTAATTTTGCTTTTTATTCTGTCATTAAGCTGTCCCATCAGAGCATTTGAGGAATTCCTTGCTGAAGGAAACGCAGGTTGACATGAAGTTTCAACCCCTATTGTAGAGGTTATATGTGGGATCAGAATTAGCTAGTCTTATGTGTTCTGTTTATTTCTCTGATATTATGGCAAACCTGTAGAGATTGGTGTTCCAGAGAGTGAGTGGTATGGTCAGTCCTTAATCTGGCTGTATGTAAGGGAATGACAAAGTCAAAATGGATCCTTGCAGAATGATCCCATTTCAGAACAGCCTTGCTCAGGGTGCAGAAATTGGATGGAGGTGGAGGTTCAGATTTAATGGATAAAATAACAGGGGAATAAGTAGTACCAGGGGGCTGGTTCATTGTAATGAGGGAGCAAGACAGTAAAAGGGTCCATTTTATCTTTGAAATCCAAGTTCTATGCAAGTATGATAGAAAACAAAGTTGTAAGAACAAATTTTGGGTTATCTATGAGTTCTCATTACAAGAAAATGCACAGCCTTTCTTCTACACAGGCATTTAAAATCAAACTAGCATTCACAAATTCTTTTGAGAGCATCTTAGGAAGACACAGTCAAGGCTCAGTGTTGCTTTGCTGTTTTATTATTTGTCAAGACGATAGATGCTGACTCTGTAAGAAACTGTCAACATCAAAACACTTTTATTCTTTCTTTAAAAAGATAACACAATAAAGAAATGACACAATCCTGGCTTATTAAGAATCTCTTAGAAACCCACTGGAAGTGTAGGAATGTTGGGGGGATTAATACCAAGCCCAAAGGACTCAGACTGAGGTAGGTGAAACAGAGGGCATCAGAGCTAGAAATTGTATAAGCTTTAAATAAAAGACCTCGTGAAACCCATGTAACATTTTTTTTTTTGTAAATTTTTCAAATGCAACTCAGAATTTTCAGAGAGCAAGCAGTGTGAGAGCAAAACAAAGCCATATAATAGATACCAGCTTTTATGGATCCCTTAGTACATTCCAAGTGATTGTTTATCAAAATTATATAAGTCAAACATGATGATGAATTTTAACCACTTCTTATCAGTGCCCTAAAACAGAAACTTACAGTTATATACCAACCAAAGCAACCGATTCTATTAAGTCACATTCCTGTTGAGTCTCTCTAGGATCTTGGGTGTCTTTCTCAAAAAGCAGAATAGAAAGTTCTTTGCCTCCAGGTTCATGTTACTTAGAAGATGATTTCAGGCTTATCCATACCACCATTCATTATCATTGTTCTTCCTTTGAGATCAAGTACAGCAAAAAATTTCCCTAGGATGTTTTCCCTCTTTTAGTTAGAAAGGGTGAGAGGTAGGGGTACATCAGTCCTACCTGAGCAGGAACCAGGCATGCAATTAAGAGGCAGGTGTCCTGCCCCAAGGAAAAGGCTATTACCTGGCTATTGCTCAGCAGTATTGGGAATGCATTTTAGAGGCCAAAGGAAGGTGAGTACAAACATCCAAATGCACAAACATGAACCCAGAAAATTAACCAGATGGTGTTCTGTTCTGATGGAAAAATGAAAGAAATGAGGGTTATTTTTTCTGTCTTTGGTTTTTCATGTATATTAAATGCTGTCCCTTGAAACCCCTAAAAATTATTTTCTGGCAACTCTAAGATGCAGAGATCTTCCGAGAGAGTCTTACTTTTTCTGTGATTTGGCAAATGTGATTTTGGTTTGAATGATGATTTCTGCAGGCTTTTGATTTCACCTTGGGTTTTGCCTCTGTTCTTTCCAGGAAGCAGAATGTGCCTACGTACTCTTCGTTGTAGCCATATTTTGGATCACAGAAGCTCTACCTCTGTCAGTCACAGCTTTGCTGCCTGGTTTAATGTTCCCCATGTTTGGGATCATGCGTTCTACACACGTAAGTTCTTCTGCAAATGTTGTCATGATTAGATTCCTTATTTTGTGCTTATTTTTTTTTTTTTAGAAAAGCTGCTTTTAAAGGGAGCAGTAATTCTGTTGATAAAGTTTCCATGTAAGTCCCTTCAAACTTCCCGTTGTTCCTTTCCTCTGGGATTCTGCCTATGTGTCCCTCCCTAGGGAACAAACATAAGTTTCAAATTCTGGAATCACATGTATCTGTAGGAAAATTGTAAGTCTCATCTTCTCTTTAGGACATCTATTGTTGGTGCCTCCCTCCCAACAAAAGGGGCAACTCATTCACATCCTGCAGGAGTTAGTTGTTCTATTCACCAGAATTTGGTCTCACTGTGTTGGAGAATAATTTTTGTTTTTAATGAAGAAAAAGCTTCCTCATTTTCTTTCTCTGAAAACTGCCATTTCAAAAGATAAAGGCAAATCAACTTTCATGTGTATTTATTTCTATTTTGTTCTTGCTGAGAAGAGTTTACTCATGCTGAGAGCTGTTTCTTACCTTTATACAATCTAAGGGTACCCATCTGAAGAAAATGGATTCAGTTTTGCATTAAAAGCATGAAACGCAATGAAACCAGAATATCTATCTCCATGCCGTCTTCTGACACCCAGCAAACAACTGTGTAAACCACAGCTGAGGGGCGGAGGATATAGCTCAGTTGGTTGAGAGCTTGCCTCGCTTGTACAAGGCCCTGGGTTCAATCTCAGAACCATAAAAAAAAATAAAATAAAAATAAACCACAGCTGAAACGTTCTCAGGTAAAAGGTCAAGTTCAAGTTGTCAGTCAGTGAAATTTATCACCTTTGGACTTCTGTCTTTTTCCTGGGTTCAACACTGCTCTCTTGAGGCAAGCTTGTGTTTAATGTAGGTGAAGATTTTTTTTTTTTTTTTTAACACTGATTACAGTTTTTCTGGAGAGACAATCTGTTCCCTTCTTGATTGTCTTATTATTCTTCATTTTCGACTCAAAATCATTTTGCATTTCTGATCCTTCCTGCTCTTCTTTTCCTACTGTGTTTCTTCCTCCTTCTAACCACAGCTCTTTTCTTTCTAATTAACATTGGTTAGGAGGACAGCATGGCTAGGACTGTACTTCAGTTTCTCTTATCCCCATATTGACATTCTGCTACCATAGAATCAGATAAAAAAAAAAAAAATGAGTGTCTTAAATGTTCCAATGTGCTGCCTCTTTGTGGTATTCAGGGGCCACAGACTTCAAACTTACAGGTACCAATATTATATCTCTGTAGCTGAGGAAACCTGCCCAAGAGTCCTTTATCACCAAAGATGCCAGCCAGCCTCATACTAACTTAACAGTCCCAGAATCTTAGATCTGGGCGAGAATTTTGGATCCACTATCACCTGTGGCGGGGATCTCTTCCACAATATCTCTTATAGATCCTTCAGTTTTAAAAGTTATCTGAATCATGGGCCTCACTAACCCATATCACTTTTAATAAGCATATCATTCTTAAATAATTTTAACTTTGAAGCAATTTCGCTTTATTGATCTAAAGTCTGAAATTTAGTCACTTTCATTTGTTAAATTATGTACCATCTAAGAATCTACAAATAAACCTTATCTTTTGTTTGCATGACAATATTGCTTAGGTTTTTAAAATTAATATAATTTCCTCTATACATTCCACCTCTAGTCTTTAAGATTTCTAGACCACAACTTCCATCCTCAAACTGAACACCCTCAACTAAATCACCACCATCTTTTTTACTTCCCAGAACTAACTCTAGTTTGTCAACCATACTTCAGACTTAAATTAGTCAATAAATGTGAAGTTTTTACAAAATAAGTGTTCAATATATATTAGCAAATATTTAGATACTGGAGAAAAAAAATGAATAGATCACTCCGGAAACATTCAGATTGCTGTAAAAGTAAATTATCATCTCCACTCTGATATTTCAGCCTAAGTTTGTTTTAAACTTTATGTGACTTTCTGTACCTAGAAAGCTTAACAGTGATCAAAACAGTTAGGAATTTTAGTGGAGAAGGCAGTTTTTCAGTCTTGTGATCCTTTATCAAGACAGGGTCAATGACGTTAATTCATTAATAGTTGACCAAAGCTTCAGGGTATTCTGGGAAGAGCTAGAGATTAAGTTTAAAGGCCTTAGCTTAAAACTCAATATTTGTTCTAATTACTGTACAATCCTTAACATGTCATCTTAATCATCTAAAAGTGGGACATGATAAAGCAACACAACTCCACCATTTTTGTAACATATGTGAAACAATGATACCCCATGGTTGTATCATTCTCAACAGTTGTTGTAAATTGATGGGAAACAATGATACAAACAATATCATGAGCATTATTAACAATTTCAATATTCAGTTTTGAGAGTATTGAACTATCATTGCATCCTATTTCAGCATCTTTGAATATCAAACCTGTCATTGAATAGGACAATGTGTCATTAATGCCTCGCCTAAGTTCAGAGCCCTAAATACCTCTCTCTTTGGCCACCATAGTTCTAACCCTACTTTACTGATTTAGCAAGCCAATGTTAAACACTTATATCTCATTGAGCACATCACTCTAGTTGAAGAATATCGACCAATACTGAACTCTTCTCATATCTGTTGAATTAAACCTGAAATTCAAAGCATTTGTGGTGTGCCCAATTTGATATTCCATAAGAAGTATCAATATTATTATTATTATTGAAAATACGTTTATAGATAAATTGTATATATAAATGTGAAATATGTACACATTTGTATATGTAAATATAAGTAATGATATACATATAAATGTTATGTTACATATTTACTTAGTAAATATTTATGTGGTAGAAATTTCCAGGCACTTGGAAAAAACATCAACAAATAGAAACAGACAAAAGATCCCTAACTTTTTAGGGGAACAAAAAGAGAAAACAAGATATCTGATTAATAGATGAATTAAATATTGAGTTAGAAAGGTAATTAAGGCTAAGTAAAAATGCAAAATATTACTGAAGAACAGAGAGAATAGCCGTTTTATATTGGCTGGGGTGGATCTCATGGAGATGGTGACACTGGACAAAGATTTACAGGAGATGAAGAGGTTAGCCATTTGAGTATCTGGAGAATGACCACTGCAGAAGGGGGGACATCCAGGGCAAAGGGCTTCAGGCATGTCAAGTCTGCAGTATGACTGGAGTAGAATGAGTAAAGGTAGGAATGAGAGAAGATGTCAAGGAGGTAATGTGAGGAGAGACTGGGCCAAATAGGGCCAAAGGAAGTCATTGTTAGGTTTTACCTCTTAATGAAGTGAAACCTTCAGGGGAGTTTGAGAGAAAAATGACATGATTACTCAGACTTTGATTTTTTTCCTCATATTTATTATTGTTGCATAATGATTACACATAATGTGGGATTTAGTGTTAAATATTCATACATGCACACAATAATTTGGCCATTGTCATTTCTCAGTATTTTCCCTTTCCCTCCTCTCACCCTTCCCTCTGGTCCCTTTTCTCTCTTCTACTTATCTCCCTTCAGTGTTCATGAGATCCCCCATCTTCCTTTTTCCTTTTTCCTCAGTAGCTTTCACCTCTGAGTGAAAACATAGGACCCTTGACTTTCTGAGTTTAGTTTGTTTCACTTAACATAATGTTCTTAAGTTCCATTCGGTTTCCTGCAAATGGCAAAATTTCATTCTTCTTTATGGTTGAATAAAACTCCATTGTGTATATGCACCACATTTTCTTAATTAATTCATCCATTGACAGACACCTAGTCTGGTTTCATAGTTTGGCAATTGTGTGAGTTGTGCTGCTATAAACTTGGGTATGCATGTATGGCTAGGGTATAACAACCTTAATTCTTTAGAGTTAATAATGAGGAGTGATATATCTGGGTCATATTGGTGTTTCTATTCCCAGTCTTTTTTTTAATATCTTTATTTATTTTTATGTGGTTCTGAGTATCGAACCCAGCGCCTCATACATGTGAGGCAGGTGCTCTACCACTGAGCCACAGCCACAGCCCTATTCCCAGTCTTCTGAGGAAATTGAATACTGATTTCCATAGTGGTTGTACTAATATATATTCCCTCCAAAATGTGTAAGTGTTCCTTTTTTCCCCTACATCTTCTTTAGCATTTATTATTGTTTGTATTCTTGATGACTGCCATTCTGACCGGAGCTAATTTCATTGTAGGTTTCATCTGCATTTCCTTAATTGCTAACCATGTTGAACATTTTTTTTTTCATATATTTGTTGGCCACGTGTATTTTTTTCTTTTGTTAGTTCATTTGCCCACTGATTAATTGGGCTCTTTGGTTTTTAGTGTTATAGTTGTTGAGTTCTTTATGTATTCTAGACATTAATCCTCTATCAGAAAAGTAGCTAGCAGCCAGGTACACCTGTAATCTTGGAGGCTCAGCAGGCTGAGGCCTGATGATATGATAGGATTATATCATCCTGATCACAAGTTTAAAGCCAGCTTTAAGCAAGTTAATAATGCCCTGAGCAACATCATAGCAAAACCCAGTCTCAAGATAAAAATAAACAAACAAAAAGGGTTGGGGATGTGAGTTACTGATTAAGTGACCCTGGGTTCAATCCCTATATCAAAAGAAGAGTAGCTAGCAAAGATTTTCTCCCACATTTCTTTACATTTTCAATTGTTTTCTTTGCTATGCAGAAGCTTTTTAATTTGATGCCATCCCATTTCTCAATTTTTGATATTATTTCCTGAGCTTTAGGAGCCCTCTTGAAAAAGTTATTACCTGTACTATATATTGGAGTGTTGACCTTACATTTTCTTCCAGGAGTTCTACAGTTTCTGTTCTAATTTCTAGGTGTTTGGTCAATATTGAGTCGATTTTTGTGCAGGGTGAGAGATGAGGATTTAGTGTCATTCTACGTATGGATAACAGTTTTCCAAGCACCATTTGTTAAAAGTGCTGCCTTTTTTTTGTAGAGTATGATTTTGGCCCTATTGTCTAGGTTCAGATGATTGTAACTGGAGAGTTTCTTT